CACCCCCAGCCCCAGGTGGCTGGGCTTCCCTGGAAGCAGCTATTTCTGGCTTTTTCTGCTCCAGGGATGAGTAGTGGGTGGAAAGGTTGAAATTGCTCAGTGGAGTGATTTTGGAAGCGCAGAGGAGCCCTGACAACCTTGACTTGAGAGGAAAGTGGAGAGGCTGCTTTCTGGCAGTGCTGGCCCTTTGGACATTGTCAAAGCAGCAGGCCCGGCCCCCTGTAACCCTGACAGCACCCTGATGAGGGGGAGAGGGGAAGGGCCGGTCAGAGGAGCTGGTGTGATCCGCTTGCAGATGCTGGACCCCATGAGACTCTGGGGAAAGCAGACCTGGGACCTGCGGAGGGGAATAAATGGGATCAGCGTGGGCTGGATTTCCCAGCCAGGAGGTGTGGCCTAGTGGGTGAGTGCAGCAGCTAGAGACAGGCTGCCAGGGTGCTTGGAATCGGGTGGGGTGGGGTCTGCCTAGAATGGAGATGCAGCAGGAAGATGAACAGAGGAGGCCTTGGGACTCAGGCTCCGGAGTCAGCCCCAGAGCTGCCACTCACAGGCCCTGGAACCTCTGTCTCATTGTCAGCTGCCAGGCCTTGGAGTCCTCATCTGCAAACGGCACTAACAAAAAGATTTTTGTGATGACTGTTTAACGGTCATTGTCTTTATTATCGTGTACTGAGCACTGAACTGTGTTGACCTTTCTTACAGCTTTTTGTCATCTCTGTGGCTCTCCACACTAATTAACTAGTATCTGCATCCATCCTACACATCTCTTTACTGAACATGTTCCTTGCCCCGGGTCCTTGTTTGGCACAATTTTAGCACAGTGGTTAAGCCTTTGGAGGCAGCCAGGCCTGGGTTAAAAATCCCAGCTCTGCCATACCCAGACACATGCCCTTAAACAAATCATTTCACATGTTCAAGCCTGGGCCTCAGTTTTCCTATCTGCAAATTGGGGCAATAATAATAGCAGGCAGTTAATTAGTAATAGCAGGTCATTAATCCTCATAACTGGATTAAAAGGACTAATGGATTTGATAGATATAAGGTGCTTAACACAATGCCCGGCACATAGTTAGTGCTGGAGATATATATGTGTGTGTATGTGTGTGTGTGTATATATATATAAATAAAATATGTTTATATAGATTTACTTGTAATATAAAGATACATGTTTATTTTTATTTTGTATATAACTAAGGTGTATATTGTGATGTTTTGATATATGTATTGAAATGATTAGTACAGTCAAACTAATTAACATATCTATCTTCTAATATAGTTACCTTTTAGGGGGGATGTTGATGAAAAAGGCACAAAGCTGCAGTTAGGCAGGATGAAGAAGTCTAGAGGTCCAATGCACAGCATGGTGCTTCCTAATTAATAACAATACCATATAGAGAACTAGAAATTTGCTAAGAGAAATTTCAGGTGCTCTCACTATAATGGATATTTGTTGAGCCCCTGCTGTGAGTCAGCCTCCATACTGGACGCTGGGAACACCGGTCAGTGAGACACCCTGCTCCCATGGAGCCCCAAAAACTAAGCTAACAGTCTAATAACAATCTAATAATTATATTATACTAACTAACCACCCTTTAATCACAAATTCCAACAGGTGCTACTGCAAAGCAAAATGCAGAAATGCAGAAATGCAGGGAGAGAGAATCACTCAGTCAACTCAATTGAGATTGGGGTAATCAGGGGAGGATCTCAAAGGGGGTGATATTTCAGCTGGAATCTGAAGGATGAGGAGTTTTTGGCCCAGGAGTGGGAGGAAAGAGGGCTCCTAATGCAGGAAACTTTATGGGAAGGCCTGGAGGAGCTCAGTTTTTGTTGTTTTGTTTTAGGGAATCAAAGAAGCCAGTGTGAGGGATTGGAGGAGGGGAAGGGGATAGTGAGGTGGGGGGGGAGGGGCAGAGACTAGATCATGCAGGGCCTCAGGGCAGAGGGAAGACGCAGGTTCACTGCTGGGCTGTAGGTGGGAAAGGAGGCAAGATGGGGGGTTTGGTGAGTGGGTACCCCACAAACATGTGCAAGTCACCTGTTAGAGTGTATGCAGCTCCGCAACCGAGTACCCAGGGGCAGATGTGGATTGCCCAAGGGCCACCTCTAGTGGGCATACATCTCTCTCTTGCTGTTCCTGTTCCCCCAGGGCAGGAGCAGGAGCCACACCTGTCGTTGTGCATCACTGATGGGCTTGAGGTCAGGCAGTCTGCTCTGTGGGGCAGAGCGGGTCAGGTGGCAAAGAAAACACGGGCTTGTCAGCGGTGATTTCTCCCTGCAAAGGCAGCCGCCACGAGCTTCCTGCAGAGATGGGCTGGTTCAGCCTCGCTCACTACAGCTGGAGATGGTTGGGAGCAGATGGCCCTGCTTGGCCCGGATTCCAGCCAGATTGCCAGGGAGGTGTGGGTGGAGCGACAGGGCTGGCGCCAGGAACGAGAATACATGCGAGGAGGAACCACCTCTCTGCCATCTCAGTGCGGTCCTGCCTGCATGGGGAGCTGTAGGGGCATCAACTGCAGCCTCTCTGTGGTCCTTGAACCAGCAGATGCTCGGAGCTCCCTGGAGAGAGATGGCCTCTGTCTTTTACAACCACCTTGATTACTCTGGAGAAATATAAGATGTTCATGGTTGTATCCTCAGTGCCTTGCACAGGGCGGGACCAGGAAGGGCCTCAGTGATTGTTTTTATTTTTATTTTTAAAATAAGTGATAGCAGTTTTCAGGTATTGTCTTATTTAGTCCCCATAGCAACTCCACAGACAAGATGCTGTCGTGATCCCCACTCTGCAGATGAGGGCACCGGGCACAGAGATGAGGAGTAACTTGCCTAAAACCAGAGTGAGCTGTGTCCAGAGCCAGGCCCCGCTAGATCAGAGGTGGAACTGCTGAGGGGCCTTGGCTCATGAATGAATATTAAGGCCTACTTAGAGACAGGGATGACTTTTCCCACCTCCTGGGCTGAAAATAACTGCCCGACATTGGAGTAATTACATCTCTTGGGCTCCCACACGGCATGGAGAACACCCCAATAATTACAGCACACAAAGGCTGCTTTTGGCAGCTAATGCTTAATTTCTGCCTCACAGAGTGTCTCCTGGACAGGAAGCCTGGTCCACCACCCACCCCCATTGGGTTTGAATTCTTGCCTTATTAAGCAGAACCTTCCAGAAATCCAGCCCGCACAGGGACATAATGACCGTTTCTCTCCCAAAGGCCAGAGCATCCCCCCTGCCCCAAGGACAGGCTGGGCTTTGGTGATCAGTGGCTTTGCCCCAACCTCCCCATGTGGCCCTGAGGCTGAGACCAGGTACCAGCGCATGTACAGCTCTGCAGGACAGACAAAGCAGGCATGAGCTACCGGTCAGCACTACAGGGTGGTCTGCTTCACCCAGAGACAGAGAGGCTGTGTCCCTGGGTTGAACTGGGGGGGCTGGTGAGTGTGTCAGGGGCTGGGAGGGTTGCTGAGTATTTGCTGTGTGCCAGTTCTCAGGGAAAGAGTAGTAAGTGCCTGGCCATTGTCCTGCCCTCCTGGGACTAAGTGTCCTACTGCAGACAGACCCAAGCCCAGACTTACCGAAACAGTTATATGAGTATAGTTGTGATAAACTATCCGTGAGATGTGTGGGGGCTGTGGGTGTACCAAGCAGGGTGGTGCCCTCATTTGGGGAGTCTGAGCTGAGACCTGAAGGATGAGGAGTGAGGCAGATGGGTGTGTGTGTGAGTGTTAGAGATAGATGGGTGAATGGGTGGATGGTGGATGGTGGATGGGTGGATGATGGATGGATAATTGTGTCTTCTAAGCAGTAGGAACAGGCTGTGCAAAAGCTCAGAGGCCAGAGAAGCATAGTGACTCTACAGCTGACAAGGCCTTTGTGGGAGGCGTTTGGAGTTTAAGAAATAAGACTGGAGAGGTAGGTAGGTAGGAGTTCCAAAGCTGTGCTGTCTAGTAGAACTTGATGTGAAGATGGAAATGTTGTAAGGCTGCACTTTCTAATATGGTAGCCACATGTGGCTTTTGAGCACTTGAAATTTGGCCAGAGTGATGGAGGAGATGAGTTTTGAATTTTTATGAGTTTAAGTTTAAGCAGCCGTAGCAGGCAGATGTGGCTAGTGAGTCCCAGGCCCGTTCCATAGGACCTGACCATATCCCATACAAACCCCCAGCACAGTGAGTGCATCTTGGGCGAATCTACTGGACATGTCACCTTTTGCCAGGAGACTGGATGGAGGCCTCACCCTCCCTTCACATGGGCCTCTGCTCGTGCTCATGCTGAGGCCGAGGGGGTCACAGGGCTGTGGGTACATGAGGATGGAGCTCAGAGGCCACCCCATCCCAACTGTCCTGAGCCCTCATCTTTCCCTGGCAGCCCTGGGCTGCTGACCAGTACACATCCTACACAAGGGATCCTTCTTCCCTCTGCACAGCCACTCCTGGTTACCCTGCAGCAGGGGTAAATTGATGAAACCACCTTGTCTGCCCCATTGGGTGGGTGGTGGGCTGTCGTGTGGATATAGTGTCTACCAGGGCATTAGGAGATGTGGACTTGGGTGCACATTTCAGAGGGAGCCAAACTTGGTGAGGGTGGGCACAGAGAGGGAACTGTCTTGATGGAGATCACACAGCCAATAAGAATGGCACTCAAATTTGAACCTTGGCCATCAGACTCCAGAGTGTATGCCTTCTATGATGATCTGTGGTGGTCCCTCGAGAACAAATTTAAATTGCTTAGCTCAGTGCCTGGCACACAGGAAGTGCTTGATATTGTGAGCTCCTATTATTATTATTATCCAGGCTGTGTCATCCACCTCTTGGAAATAATGGACCAAAGACCTATGTTCTGTGTCTCAGTTTCCTTATCTGTAAAAGGGGGAGGTTTTGATACTTAGCTCTTACACCTGTTGTAAGGAGTGAACAAGATTGTTTGTGTCAGGACCTGGGAGAGAGTGGGTCTGCTTGGGTCCCCTGCATATCTGCACTCACTCCTGTCCCCTCTGTTGCAGTACGCTACTTCCTGAAGAATAAGGTCAGCCCTGATTTGTGCAATGAGGATGGACTCACAGCTCTGCACCAGGTAAGGCTGGGCTTGCTGGGGTCCCCAGCTCTCTGCTCCCCACCTGGACAGGTGCCCCATGTCCTGCTTTTTTCCTGCCCAGAGCCCTCAGAGAGGAAAGGGGGAGGGGAGCTGCAGCTGCCCCATCTGAAAAGCTCTTGTCTGCTTTGGAGATGTGTGTGTCTGTTACAAGCATGCCCAGAGAGCTCCTGTGCACATGCGTGCATGGCGCACACACAGCCTGCAAGGACAGGGAGCCTTTGTCTGCTGCATCCTCACTGCCTAGCAAAGAGTTTGACAGACAAAGCAAGTTTGTTTGGAGGTTGAAAGCTTTCAAAGCACATTCATTCACACCCAGAAGGCACCCGTCCACCTGGTGACAAAGGTGATTAATGGGGGTTATATGACCTGCCTGTGCTCATACAGCCATAAACTGTGGCCATGAACCACAATCATAACACATTATTTACAGGGCAGCATGATGGACCCACCATCCTTGGCTGGGCAGGGGATGCTCTGGCTGTCATCTTTGCCTGGATGCTGCAACAGCCTCCCTGCTGGTCCCCGGCATTCATTTGGCCCTGCCTTGTTTGGTTCTCCTTGCAGTGGCCACAGGAATGCTCAAGCCAAAAATCTACTGCCATTACTCTGTGGGCCCTGGTGTCTCCCACAAGGCCCAGCCCCTGATGAGCTCTCTATGCTTCCTGGCTCTCCAGGCTCCAGCCACGTGGCTTTCCTGTTCCTGGCACACACTGTATTCTTCCCACCTCACTTCCCAGAGCCCTTGGTACATGTGGGGGTTAGCGCCCATTCACAGCAGAGCCTGAGAGCTGTTACGTACATATCCTTTTCTTCTGAGCACCCCCTTTGTTTGAAATTAGTCATTTTAACTATTGGCATCATCATTTGATGTTGGCCTTCCTCTGCCCAGACTCTCAGCTGCCTGAGGGCAGAGCTGTGTCTCTTCCTCATTTGGTGCATCCCAGCATCTTTCCCCGTGCTGCCATACAGCAGGTGCTTAATATGTGCATGCTGACTTAATGAATCAACACAGTGAAACCTCCCTGTGCCCTGGCCCAAGTTTCTGAATGCAGCCTGGCAGGCGGGAGGCCAGCCTGCTGGAACCCTGGGTTGGTGAGAGCCTCTCCATCTCCCCATTAGGGCAGGGCGGATGGACAAAGACAGGCCACTGCCCTACCCATGAGCTCAGGGCAGGTCCCTACCCTCCACCAGAAGCCCAGTGGCTTCCTCTGTGTCCCTTTGGGAATTCTAGCCCTGTGACTCTGGGTAAGTTACTTAAGCTTTCTGTGCCTCAGTTTCCCCATCTGTAAAAGAACAACAAGTACTCATCTCATTGGTTTGTTATGAGGATTAAATGAATGCACATAAAAACCCTTTGAGCCTCACCTGACACTGGAGGAATATTAGATACTATTATTATTATTAGAATTTGTCACATGCTTGCTTCTCTGCCAAGCTGCTTCACTTATGTGATGTGTTGGGTGATCCTTACAACAACCCCCTGAAATATTATTATCCCTATTTTACAGTTCAGGAAACAGGTTCAGGGCCAGCATTGTCCAATAGAACTTTCTATGATGATGGAATATTCTGTGTATCTGCACTGCCCAGTATGGGAGCTGCTAGCTAGGGAGCACTTGGAATATTATTCTGAGGATTAAACAGGGCAACGCATGGCCAGAGGTTAGCAAGGTAGCCCTGATGACACATCATGGCTGTTGTTACTGTTATTGCTGTTGTCACTTCTGCCCCAGCCACAACAATGGACCTTATTAAGAAGCACTTTACATGCCTGGTGAAGGAGTGGGTATTTATTTCCTCTTGGCAACAGGGACCCTAAAGAAGTTTGTAAGCTGAGAGCAACGTGGCTGGGTTAATGGGGAAGCACACTCTCCAGTGCGGAGGGTGTGGAGAGGGAACAACGGAGAGGCAGGAAAAGACGATGACGCCTCAGCCAGGGCAGCGGGGATGGGGACAGTGACTTAAGAGATGGAATCCAAACCCAGAGATAGTACACGGGAGGTGAGGGGTCAGGAAGGGTCATCCAGCTGCAGGTGCCATTTCCGCCTTGGGGAATTCCAGAGCGAGGACTATCCGCTCCACCACCCGCTGTCCCCTCGCCCCCTCTCCCGTGCACCCCCAGCCCAGCTCCTACCCCAGCCCTGGCTCAGCCCGTGTCCAAGGTGCAGGCTGGTCCGGACCCTGGGCATCCCTCTCAGAAGACTGCAATTTGAGTGCCCAATTCCCTCCCCTTTCAGCGTAAGCCCCCAGCCCATCCTCACGCTTTTTTGCAGCCCCTAAGGGTACGATCTCTGATGCTCCTGTTTCCTGACCGCGGTGGCTGGGCTGCTTCTCCTCCTATGGACAGATGCCCAGACCCATCTCAGTTAGTCTGGGGCCCCTCCCCTTTCCCTGCCGCCTCACGCCGGCGCCTTTGGCGCCCTCTGCCGGCCGCACCATGCCGCTGCATGGTTCTCTTAACCTGAGGCAGCGCCATACCTCATTGGGTCGGTCACCTGTATTCCACCAGTCCGGAGAGATGCCGGGCTAGCTGGGGTGGAAAGAGAACCTGGGTCGCTGGCACCATCTGTGCAAACGGCTGCTGCTATCCCACATACCCTTCTGGCGCTGAGCCCTGGCTCTGCTGAGGTTGGGGGTGGGGGCCGTGGAGTCGCCCCATCCCAGTTCCCATCCCCACACCCACCTGGGTATGGGCTCCCACAGGGGCCTCTGCTCCGTCTGCTGCCACCTAGTCCCTTCTCCCCATGCCTACAGACACTTCTGGGGGCCAGATCATCATCTCTTAGCCGGGAGATTTCAATACAGCTCCTCACCTCTCTTCCCTACCCCCAAAAAGCACACACACAATCTGTTCTCCACCTGCAACCAGAAGAATGATTTAAAAAAGCAAGTCTGACTGTGCTGCTCCTTAGTGTAACTGCATCTCCCATTGAAGCAGGATGACGTCCCTACCTGGAGGGGCAGTGCTGAGCACAGGTCCCCTGCTTTGTCCCCTGCTGGATTCTCCAGCCACAGTCTGAAGTGGCTCCCTGCTTTTCCCTCTGTTCTCGCCTCTCCCTGCCCTTGGCCCTGGCTTGAGGTCCCTCTATCCCTTGGTATCTTTCACTCCCTGTACTTGGAGTTTTGGGGCTGCAGTGACTGTCAGAGCCCTGTGTCTCTCTGGGGGGCTGTAGGCTCCTGACCCTTCCCTCTCACCTACGCTGACCAAAGTGTGGACAGCCAGGAGTATACACGTGGCTGTCTCCTCCCCAGGACTTTATCAGGACCTCCAGAGCCCTCACATGCAGCTGGGTTCTTTTCAGGGAGGCTTGATTACTTGAGGCTTCCTGGAGAACTGAGTCAGAGGTGTCAAACTATGGTCCACTGCCAGGAAGGAGGACTCTTCCCCCAAACCCCCTCATCCCCACCAACACATACCCCTGCTTCAACCTGAGCAGCCCTGCTTAAATTTACTAGTTATCGAAGGTAGAATTCTCCATTCAATTTTGTTTGAAGGAGGCCTTCTGGAATTTAAAAAGAAAAAAAGGTTTTTAAGCCTTATTCAAAATTTTGTCCCATTTTCCCAACACTTGTAAATGCTTTTATAGCTGATCTTTAAGTGTGTCATATTACACTTAGATTTTTATCTTGTATACTATTAACTGACTCATGAAGAAATAGAGGTTCAGAAAGGTTACGTGGCTTGCCCAAGGTCATACAGCATGTAAGTAATGGAGCTGGATTCAAACTCAGGCAGGTTGGTTTCCTTGTCCTTCCCCTTGGCCTCTGGAGGGGAACTTGGCATGTCCCCCGAGGGTCTGGGGCCCTGCCCAGAGCTGACCCAACCTGGGTCCCCCTTGCAGTGCTGCATCGACAACTTTGAGGAAATCGTCAAGCTGCTCCTTTCCCACGGTGCCAACGTGAATGCCAAGGACAATGAGCTGTGGACACCGCTGCACGCTGCGGCCACCTGTGGCCACATCAACCTGGTGAAAATCCTCGTTCAGTAGTACGTGCCCCTCCCCCCAGAACGGCCCCGCCTCTGCCTTTGGGTTTTTCCATGTTTGACTTGGTTTGTTTCTGTTTCCCTCTCTCTCCTCAATGTGTTTTTCTCTCTCTGACCCTCTTCCTCTCTTTCTCTTTCTCCTCCCATCCTTCTCCAGCTCTCTGGGCCTTTCTCTGACATGTCTCCCCATCTCTGTCTTTCCTTCCCTCTTGGTCTCGTTCTGTCTTTCTCACTCTTTGTCCCTCTTCATTCTCTCTCTCTCCCTTCATTGTCTTTTTTTACCCCCCCCAAACATGGTTGTGGTAAAATACACATAACATAAAATTCACCGTCCGTGCATTACAGGCATAAATCCCATTTGGTCTTGGTGTGTAATCCTTTAACTAAATTCGGTTTGCTTGTGTTCTGTTGAGGGTTTTTGCATCAGTGTTTATAAGGGATATTGGGCTGTAGTTTTCTTTTCTTGTAGTGTCTTTGTCTGGCTTTGGATCAGAGTGTCATTCTATTTTTTAATCTCTTTTTGTCTGTCTCCATGAGCCCTTGAGTTTATATTCATCTCCCCCACTCTCTTTATGTGTTGACATTTTTGTTGTTCTTATATAAAAAAAAAAGTCACGCATGCTTCTTTGCCCCCCAAGTCCTGTCCATATGCTTTTCTTTGGGGCAGAACCTGCTTTGGAGACACCATGTAGTGTCTCTCCCAGGAATAAGGCCCTTTCTCTCTCTACCATACTGATGGTCCTTTCCTGCCCTGAAATTCTTTCTAGACTGCTCAGGTTCTGTAAACACATGGAAAAGGCAACATTCAATTGCAGATGTATTCAACTGAATTCATCCAAGGATCAGTGGACACTTGAGCTGGGCCAGGCCCTATGCTGGGTGCAGGGTACTCAGGAATGCGAAAGGCCTGAAGAACCTAAGGCCTCAGGAAACTAAGCAATTTCAGTGCTAGTGCTGAGACACAGCAAGACCGGTGGGCTGGGGTCCCGGGAGGCCAAGGAAAGCATCTGAGGGAAGGGGATCAGAAAATAGCTGAAGCAAGTGACCTTTTGTGGAGGTCTTGGCAGAGCAGCAGGAACCTATTGGCTGGCTGCTGAATGGGGGGAGCTGATGGTGCTATTGGCCTGGCTTAGAGAGGGGGGTCATCAGCTTGCCCCGGGCACATGGGAGTTCAGAGAAGTCATAGCAGAGAGCTTTTAGGCCCAAGGACTGACTGGGGTCCCATGCCCATACGTCTGATGAGAACCCGGCTGTGGCTCAGTCTGCCAGGAGCATCAAGCGGCCCCGAGCCCATCACCGATAGGGGCCAGCTGGAAGAGGGAGTGGTGCCAGCCTGGTGCAGTGGGTTCCCAACTCCCATCTGTACCAGAAACTCATGGGGCATGGGTTTAGAAGCCATACTCTTGAGCCCCAACCCCAGAGACTGTTTCAGGAGGTCTGGAGCAGAGAGCTCTGGATGCTGCCTTTCATTTCATTTCGATGGTTCCTGGGCAATTCCGCCAGGAGCCCCAAGGCTCTGCCTCTGCACCTGTCCTGGTCAGCAGCTTGGAGGAGGAGCTGGGGGATGGCTGAGGATGTTTCCGCACGCGGGCCAAGGCTGAGATAGAGCATGGGGAAGCAAAAAGAGCTGGTACAAGGGAGACCTGGGTTTGAGTCTTGACCCTCCCACACCCTAGCTGTGTGACCCTGGACCAGTGACTGAACCCGAGTCTCTGTTCCCCTTGAGTGAGATGGGCCGATAGGAACAGCCTGAGAAGACATCCTGAGGACTTGCATGAGACAATGGGTGTGAAGGGCTTAGATCAAGGCCGGCTCTAAGCAGATGCCAGGTAAAGGGAGCTGCTGCCGTTAATGTTAGTTTATTATTGTCCCTAGGGAGGACTTGGTCATCTGTCTTCAAGTGCCTGCCTGCTGGCTCAACAGAAGCCAGGGGAGGTCCGCAGGGATAGCTTTCCTGGGATTTTGGCCCCTTCGCACCTGGGCGCCTGGATTCCTGAAGCCGTTGTCCTTGCTGGGGTGTCCCGTAGAGGGGCTGCGGTGAGGCTGGAGGGCAGAGGCAGCCAGACGGGCCCTGCCCACACCTTCCTGGCCCTCCCCCTCCCCCTCTCTCTGCAGTGGGGCTGACCTGCTCGCTGTCAACTCTGATGGAAACATGCCGTATGACCTCTGCGAGGATGAACCCACCCTGGATGTCATCGAGACGTGCATGGCTTACCAGGGTAAGGGCTCAGTGTGCTGCTGTGGTGAGCACGTCATACATCAACGCCGGTGAGCGAGTTAGCTAACTGCAGGCCTGCCTGGTGCTCCACACTCAGGAAATGGGGTGGGCATCATTATTATCCTTATCTGTGTGGTTAAGATGATGAGGATTCAAAACGGCCCTGGAAAGTGTGCTGTGCAAAAGGGAGGTATTGTTCTCATCCGTGTCACCCACACACGTGGGTGGCCTCAGCTGGCCTTGTCTCCTCTTCGTCAGCTGTGACAATTCAGTTTAATAAACATTCACAATACAGATATATTCCCATTTGGAAAAATAATAAAAAGTCAAGAACATTGGCTGGTGCCTGCTCTGTGCACCAGACTGGCTGCCAGGGGCCTGGGTAAACAAGATGTGGGCTGTTCTCAGCTCACAAATGAGCTTCAGAGAGGAAACAAATGTAACTATCAGAGACCTGCCCTCCCCCACCGCCCTGTGTGCATACGTCTGAAGCGCCCTCCTCAGAAATAAATCTCAAATGCAGGCCCTCATCTGCAGCCCGAAGTCCTGTCTGGGCCCTGCCCCTGAGCCCTTCCCAGACCACTGCAATCACCATGGATTTGGTCTCCCCACCCCCTGGCTTTTCTCTCCACCTTCTACAGGGATTCTTAACGATTCCTGTGCCCATCTGCTGAGTCTCTGGATGTCTTCTCAGAATCATGTTTTGAAGTCCAGTTATCAGAATCATAGAATTATGAAGGCAACCAATTATATGAAAATATAGCTACCAAATTATTTCTGAATGTGTTATATGGAAACTTGATTAATTCAGGAAACAATAAGATAATGTGATATGAAAATACCTACAGTTTCTGTTGGTGACAGAGTCACACGCACTGCTCATTCCACTGTGGGCTTTGCTTGTATGCTAACGGAAGGATATGCTGTATTTCATTGAAAGGTTAGTGAAAACAAACATGCCATTTCTTTCTCTTTCGAGTTTATAGACCTCCCCGAGTTCTATCCGAGAGTGTTTGATCTGATAGATGAGCATGTCACCCTTTCCTTAAATACCATTAGTAGCTTCCAGTAACACTTAAACTTTTTAGCCAGAGATTCAGGCTCTAAAGTGTCTTTCTGGATCCCTCCACCTCAATTTACTCATCTCTCCATTTGAAAGTTATGTATTCATTCATTCATTCCCATAATAAAAATTCATTAAGCATTGTGCCTGGTGCTGCAAACACAAATATGGATGAAAATGGAGGAAGCGAACACAGACCCTAGTCAGATAGGGTCATCAGGGGAGGCCAGCTGGGGAGGTGATGCGGGCCATTCCTAAAGGATGAGATGGAGCCCTTCGTTTGAACAGCTGGAGGTGGGCGGGTGGATGGTGGGGACTTCCAGGTAGAAGAACAGCATGCAGAACGGTAACCAATACTATGACAGGGCCCAGTGGGTTCCAGGCAGGAATGGCCCTTGTTCTGCGGGCCAGAGCATGGTGTTTGTGTTCACTGGGCCAAGGAGACAATGATACGTGGGGCATGTCTGTCCACCCTTTGACTGGCAGACCCTGGGAGCAGGGGCTGTGACACTCCCATCTGCTCTCCTGTCCCGCCTTGAGGCCTAGATCTGGGGGGTGCTGACTAAATCCCCCCTTCCCTGATGCAGGCATCACGCAGGAGAAAATCAACGAAATGCGGGCAGCTCCTGAGCAGCAGATGATTGCGGATATCCATTGTATGATTGCAGCAGGCCAGGACCTTGACTGGGTAGATGCCCAGGGTGCCACACTGGTGAGGAGATGGGCCAAGTTGGTTTGGGCTGGGGTGGGGGTCAGTACTAGAACCAAGACCAGCTAGGGCTGAAGTGGGTCAGCACCTGGTGGAGGCCAAGTGTATACAGTTGGGGTCTGGCCGTGGCCTTGGACCTCCTCCAGATCCCCTTTGGGGCCAGTGTTGCCTCTGGAATATGGAGAGTTAGTGGACCAGGGTTCAGCCCCTTTGAGAATCTGGCCACTCTCAGCTGGGGCTGCGAGTCAGGAGCCCTGGGTGGGAGGCTGGCTCTGCTGTCTGCCTGTTCTGCCTTCAAGTTCTAGGTGTCCATCCTGAGCTCATTATTTCACCCTCCTCACGATGTCTTCATGTAAAAGACTGGTCCCACCATTCGTCCACTCACCCATGCATTCTGGCTTTGTGCTGCCCCTACCCCTGCCTCTCTTCTGGATTCCCTGACTTCAGAATCCAGACACCCCCCAGTCATCCATTCATCCATCCATCCACCCATCCATCCAGTCAACACACAGCTCCTCTGTGCCACATGCTTTACTAGACCCTGAAGATACAGAACAACAGAATCTTCTTTTCTCACATCTGCCTGCTTGGCTCTAAGCATCCTATCAGCTCAAGTGTCAGTGACTTGAGAAACCTTCGTGACCTCCCTTCATAGGCCTTCTTTGCACAGTGCAGCCCAGTATTGGAGAGGGCCTGTTTCTGTAGCCTCTAAACTGAAAACAATAGCATGGCATTGGAAACCCACGCCCGGACCCCTGTCCCCTTGCCGGTGACTGGGCCCTGCCCTAGGCTTGGGGTCTGTGCTGGTCATGAGCATGGACCTGATCAAGGGTGTCAGATCTTGAGCTCAACAGTAGGGCTCAGCAGTACCAAGTTCCCTCACTTGCCTGCAGGCCTGACCTGGTAGCCCAGGTACGATAACCGTGCTTCTCCCACCTGGGACTTAGCCCTATCCTCTGCCTCATGCCATTTTCTATTAACTGGGTCCCTGCTCAGATCACCTGCTCAGCTCAGCACTCAAGGATGGAATCAGGTAGTGAGACTGAACTCTGTAAAATGAACTTAAGGCCAGGCTGTACCAGGGCTTTTTGCCCACCCTGGCTGGAGCTCCTCTGGGTCTGTGGCCAGGCCTGCTGCACACAAAGGTCTTCTACTCTTGCACTGGGGCTGGCCTCAGAGTGGCCCCACTCACATGGGATGAGCACAGACCTTCTGGAAGGTCTCAGATCTTCCCAGTAAAGAGCAGATACTAGTAGTAATAGTACTTTCCTCACTGGGTTGATGAGAGGACTAAATGGGATTCTGCATGTGGGTGTTTAGCACAGAGTCTGTAAACTCTCAGTAGATGTTAGTGATCAACATTAACATTCTTCTTCTTATTATTAACAGTATCACTGTCCCAGTCGTGCTTTTTTATTCCCATACAAGTACGACGCCTCGCAGTTTGTAATGTCTGCCTGGCCTGCCCACTGTCATTCTCTGTAACTGGCATGCATCACACATTGATAAATCAGATAATTATATGAGTTTTCATGGGGGCCTGTACCAGGTCACACCCTGGGTTCATTCTGCATATTAAAAAATAAGGGAAAACCTCTATTTGCTAAAATCGCATGACAACTTTACTCCAGGATGAGACAGCATCTGGCCATTGGAGCTGCATTCTGAAGGCCGCTTCCTGGAGCCATGCCTTTGCTGTCCCACTGGCTGGGGCTCTGTTGCCCTATACATCAGCCCTCAGATCCCTCCAGTTTCCTCTGGTTTATTCCCAGCCAGGTTTCTGCTGGCCTTCTGTGTTCTCACCTTTATCTCCTGTGTCGGCTGGGCAGTTGGCTTTGCTCTGCCTTGTCTGCTTCTGCTCCTTCAGCCATTCCCATGGTGTGCCCTGTCATCAGGCATCTCTCTGAAGTGTTAATCATTTTCTGGGTGTTCATCATGTGCTAAGCACTTTATGTATTTTCTGGGAGATTGAGCAAGTGGGACAACTGAGGTCTGCAAGGTAGTGTCCATCGCTGGAGGCCTTCAATGGTGCTGGGTTGACAAGCTGGGGCCTCAACATGAGGTTTTCTCTCTCTCTTTTTTTAAAGTTTTTTAGTAAGGTATTATTGATATACACTCTTCTCAAGGTTTCACATGAAAAAACAATGTGGTTACTACATTTGCCCATATTATCAAGTCCCCTGCCGACCCCATTGCAGTCACTGTCCATCAGTGTAGTAAGATGCCACAGAGTCACTGTGTGCCTTCTCTGTGCTACACTGTTCTCCCCGTGATCCCCCACACCATGTGTACTAAACATAACACCCCTCAGTCCCCTTCTCCCTCCCTCCCCACCCACCCTCCCACACCCCTCCCCTTTGGTAACCACTAGTTCCTTCTTAGAGTCTCTGAGTCTGCTGCTATTTTGTTCCTTCAGTTTTGCTTCGTTGTTATACTCTACAAATTAGGGAAATCATTTGGTACTTGTCTTTCTCCGCCTGGCTTATTTCACTGAGCATAATGTCCTCCAGCTCCATCCATATTGTTGCAAATGGTAGGATTTGTTTCTTTCTTATGGCTGAATAGTATTCCATTGTGTATGTGTACCACCTCTTCTTTATCCATCCATCTACTGATGGTCACTTAGGTTGCTTCCATATCTTGGCTATTCTAAAAAGTGCTGCGATAAACCTAGGGGTGCATATGTCTTTTTGAATCTGAGAAATTGTATTCTTTGGGTAAATTCCAAGGAGTGGGATTCCTGGGTCAAATGGTATTTCTATTTTTAGTTTTTTGAGGAACCTCCATATTGCTTTCCACAATGGTTGAACTGGATTACATTCCCACCAGCAGTGTAGGAGGGTTCCCCTTTCTCCACATCCTCACCAGCATTTGTTGTTCTTAGTCTTTTCAATGCTGGCCATCCTAACTGGTGTGAGGTGATATCTCACTCTGGTTTTAATTTGCATTTCCCTGATGATTAGTGATGTGGAGCATATTTTCATGTGTCTGTTGGCCATCTGAATTTCTTCTTTGGAGAACTGTCTTCATATTCTCTGCTCATTTTTTAATCGAGTTATTTGCTTTTTGGGTGTTGAGGCATGTAAGTTCTTTATATATTTTGGATGTTAACCCCTTGTTGGATATGTCATTTACAAATATATTCACCCATACTGTAGGATGTCTTTTTGTTCTGCTGATGGTGTCCTTTGCCATACAGAGCTTTTTAGCATGATGTAGTCCCATGAGTTCATTTTTACTTTTGTTTCCCTTGCTCGAGGAGATGCATTCAGGAAGAAGTTGCTCATGCTTATATTCGGGAAGATTTTTGCCTATGTTTTCTTCTAAGAGTTTTATGGTTTCATGACTTAATTCAGGTCTTTGATCCATTTTGAGTTTACTTTTGTGTATGGGGTTAAACAATAACCCAGTTTCATTCTCCTGCATGTAGCTGTCCAGTTTTGCCAACTTTTTGGTGTTGAAGAGGCTGTCATTTCCCTATTGTATGTCCATGGCTCCTTTATCATATATTAATTGACCATATATGGTCGGGTTTATATCAGGGCTCTCTAGTCTGTTCCATTGTTCTATGGGTCTGTTCTTGTGTCAGTACCAAATTGTCTTGATGACTGTGGCTTTATAGTAGAGCTTGAAGTCAGGGAGCATAATCCCCCCACTTTATTCGTCCCTCTCAGGATTGCTTTGGCTATTTGAGGTCTTTTGTGGTTCCATATGAATTTTAGAACAATTTGCTCTAGTTTGTTGAAGAATGCTGTTGGTATTTTGATAGGAATTGCATTGAATCTGTAGATTGCTTTAGGCATGATGGCCATTTTGGCAATATTAGTTTTTCCTATCCATTAGCACAGGATGTGTTTCCATTTATTGGTATCTTCTTTAATTTCTCTCATGAGTACCTTGTAGTTTTCAGAGTATAGGTCTTTCACTTCTTTGGTTAGGTTTATTCCTAGGTATTTTATTCTTTTTGACGCAACTGTGAATGAAATTGTTTTCCTGATTTCTCTCTCTGTTAGTTTATTGTTAGTGTATAGGAATGCCACAGATTTCTATGTATTAATTTTGTATCCTGCAACTTTGATGAATTCAGATATTAGATCTAGTAGTTTTGGAGTGGATTTAGGGTTTTTTATGTACAATGTCATGTCATCTGCAAACAGGGACAGTTTAACTTCTTCCTTGCCAATCTGGATGCCTTTTATTTCTTTGTGTTGTCTGATGGCCGTGGCTATTACCCATGAGATTTTCTCTTATTGGATTTATTATTTGCTATTGCTGCAAAAAAAAGACCCCAAAACTTAGCATCTTACAACAACAATGGATATTTATTACCTCACATAGTTTCTGTGGTTCAGGGAATTAGAACAGCTTAGCTGGGTGGCTCCAGCTTGGGGTGTCTCATGGAGTTGCTGTCTAGACATCAGCTGAGGTCTTACCTAGGGTATAATGTCCCCTTCCAAGATGGTGCATGCACATGGCTGGCAAGTTTGTGTAGGATGTTGGCAGGAGGCCTCAGTTTCTCATCTCCTTAGGACCTTTCCATAGGACTGCTTAAGGGTCTTCACAACATAATGGTTGCCTCCTCTGAGGGTGATTGATCCCTGAGAGCATAAGGTAGAAGCAGCAATGCTTTATACCATCACCTTGGAAAGCACATAGCTCCGCTTCATACTGTCCTGTTTGTTAGAAGCAAGTCATGTTCTGGCCCACAGTCAAGGGGAGAGGAATTAAGCTTCATCTTTTAAATGGAGGGGTGTCAAAGAATTTGTAGACATATTTTAGAAGACCATATCGGACCTCTGAGATTTCTACAGGGCTCAGCACATAGTAGGGACTCAAAAAATGCTGTTACCTGAACTGCAGGGGCTCTAACACCAACAGCAGGGAGAAGAGCTTACCTCTCTGCCTTCCCTCCTACTCCATCCACATTGCAGCCTTATTAAATCCTCTGCAACGGGGCTGGCATTTCCACCTCATTCTATGCCATTCTGCGGGCCCCAAGCATGATCTGGGACTGGGGTTGGGGAGAGGGCTATCCTGCCTCCCAATGTGGGAATGCTCACTTCTTTCTTCTCCTTCAGCTGCATATAGCTGGAGCCAGTGGGTACCTGCGGGCAGCAGAGCTTCTCCTGGACCATGGAGTGCGCGTGGACGTGAAGGACTGGGATGGCTGGGAGCCCCTGCACGCGGCTGCATTCTGGGGACAGGTAGTCCTCACCCCTGGGGCTATGCGGGAGGCCAGCACGTGGTCAACCTGCTGTCCTTTGGGCTGGCAGCTGGTTCAAAAGAACTTAAGACCCACTTAAGTGTTGACCGAAGCTGGTATGTGGGATATGAAAAGGCCTAGGGAGTTTGCAAAAATATTGGACAAGTTATGTCCTCACAAGAAGGTAACCATATTTGCCCAAGTTGAAAATTCCCCACATTTCTGCTCTGAGTGGGTTCTCCAGTTGTTTCCCAGATGTACAACTCTGACTGCAGCTTGCATAGTCCCTCCTTAGACACATGACAGCTCTAGAGTTACAGTTGACTCCTTCTCTGCTTTGGCAGGGCCCAGGCATCTGCAGGAGGTGTCAAGCCCCTTGTGTGTTGCCAGGATTCCTGGCTCCAAGGTCCAGCCTTCCCTGGGAATGAATTTGTCCCCCCCATCGTCCATTCTTTGGGTCATATCCTAGGAGGCCTTGGGCACTCTTTCTACCTCCTAGGCTTTCTGAGCCCTGGGCCAGGGGAACATGGGCTTCTTCCGTTTTAGATGCAAATGGCAGAACTGTTGGTGTCGCATGGGGCCAGTCTCAGTGCCAGGACATCCATGGATGAGATGCCAATAGGTAAGCCCAGCACACCTGGTATACACATAGGCCATGTCAATTTTTTGATGGGTAGAGGGATGAATGGATGAATGTGTGGTTGGCTAGATAATGGATTGGTGTATGGATGGACAGATGGATGAATGAAAAAGTTAATGGATGGTACATTAATGTGCAGATGGACAGATGGATGGGTGGATAGATAAATGTATGGATAAGTGGATAAATGGATATAAGGATGGATGAATGGATAGGTGAGTGGGGCATGAATCTGTGGATGGATGGCTATGTCAGCAAATAGGTAGATAGATAAGTTAAAGGATTAAGTGGGTTGAAGGGGTGGGGATATATGATTTCAGCATCTTTGTTGAATTACTTGCTTGGGCTACATGGGGTACTGCTCGTTTCTCTTGATACTTCTCGTATCAGGAGAGTTGATGACTTCTCTTGGAAATTATCAAAGGTGCATGAAATCTTCTGTCATAGCTGGGAACTTTGAGAGTTATGTCTATGCATGGAACCTGGGTTTCCTGTTCTTATTCTCCTTTAAGGATTGGTGTAGCTCAGGAAATAAGGCTGGAGCTGTTTTCTTTCCTTCCTGAGTGCCCCAAAAATTGCTGGGAGTTTTCAGTGGGTTGGGAGTTTCCTATGGTCGGAAGGGTCCTCAGTGGCCACAGCCCCTGCACCACTCCCCACAACGGACTCCTCTACCCCTTCAGACCTGTGTGAGGAGGAGGAGTTCAAGGTCCTGCTGCTGGAGCTAAAACACAAGCATGACGTGATCATGAAGTCACAGCTGAGGCACAAGTCGTCTTTGAGCCGGAGGACGTCCAGCGCGGGCAGCCGTGGGTGAGTCCGGGGCAGGGCCGCCAGGGGGCGCCGTGGAGGCTACGCCTGTGGCTCCTGGGCGCAGCCTTCCAACACCTCCTCTCTCCCCTCAGGAAGGTGGTGCGTCGGGCCAGCCTGTCAGACAGAACCAACCTGTACAGGAAGGAGTACGAGGGAGAGGCCATCCTGTGGCAGCAGCGGAGTGCCGCCGAGGAGCAACGGACTTCAGCCTACAACGGGGACATCCGGGAGGCCAGGACAGACCAAGAGAATAAGGACCCAGTGAGTGGCCTCGTGCCCCGCCCCCGTGCCAGCCACTGCCTTGGGAGGAGGATGGCCCCCCGCACCCCCCCGCCTGGGCTTGCCTCTTCATGCCAGAGACTTCAGAGGGAGGTTCGCTGGGCAGGGCCCTGAAACCAGCTGGATCCCATCTGATGGGGCTGGCCCCTGTGGCTAACAGGGCGACCCTAGATGTGCTCAGTCAGAGTCAGGAGGTTCGGCACATGCAGGGGTTTCACTCACTGGTTAGACAGGGAGTGAGTAACCACTATGCGCCTCCCTGTGCTCCAGCAGGTCTCGTTCTGGGCTTCCCGGAAGAGAGTTTCCGTAGGGAAGCCACCCTGGGGGTTAAGGCACAAAACTTTTTCAGGGAAATACAGCAGTATGTTGAGAATTGTGGTTAAAAGAACCCATCTGGTTGGAAGAAATGTTTTTGACAAACTGAGCAGGGTGCTGGGAAAACTGCTATGAAGCTTCCTCCAGTAGTAAATCCTTTCTAAGAGGAGGCTTGATTGGTTTCCTAGGACTGCCGTATCAAATGACCACCAAACAACAGAAATTTATTCTTTCACAGTTCTGGAGACCAGAAGGCTAAACTCAAAGTGTCAGCAGGGTTGGTTCCTTCTGGGGACTCTTAGGGAGAATCTGTTCCCTGCCTCTCTGCTAGCTTTTGGTGGCTCATGCATTCCTTGACTTTTGCTAGCACAACTCCACTCTCTGCCTTCATCTTTACGTGGCCTTCTAGCCTGCACATGCACATGTGTGTGTGTGTTTCTCTTGGAAAGACATCAGTCACTGGATTAGAGCCCACCCTAGTCCAGTATGAACTCATCTTAATCTAGTTACATTTGCAAAGACCCTACTTTCAAATAAGATCACATTCAAAGATGGGGGGTGTACATGAATTTTGGGGGTACATTATTTGACTCAGCACCAATATACTCAGGTTCATGCATGGCTGCTGTCTTGGTGGGTGGGGCAAGCAAGTTTGGGGCCAGAGCAGAATTGCTGGGGACCAGAAGGCAGAGGATGACCATAGCAGCCACAGTCTGCCTTTTTCATTCTTCCACCACACAATGAGCAGCTGCAGACATTTCTAGAGTATTGCTTTGGAGGGATGCAAAATCACTTGCTGCCCTGTGTGCCCATGTACATGTCTCAGTGGGACCCCTCTGCGGCTTGAACAGGGAGGTCGTGTGCCGGCTTGTCTCACCAGCAGAAGCAAAGATGCCTATGGGAGGGAATCCCCATCAAAACTCCTGGCTGGGCAGAGAGGCACACACCCAGGCTTTGTTCTGCCTGGTCCTGAAGCTTGGGGGCTGGGGAGAAGAGAGTTGTAGATTGAAATCAAATCACATTTCAGATCCCTTCCAGCTATGTTCTATTTGTTTTTTTGTGAAGTACACACATCTTAAATTAGTTTTTTGTTTTTCGTGAAGTACACACATCTTAAATGAGTTTTTCATGGAACTTTTATAAATGTGTACTCTCAGATGCATGTACAGACAATTTCTGTCCCCACAGAAGGCTCCCATGTTCCCTCTTCCAGTCCATTTTCCCACTTCAATGGTATCCACTGTTTAGCTTCCAGCAGAAAATTAGTTTTGTGTCTGCTTTTACATTCAACTGGACCCTGGCATTCTGTTGTCTTTTGTATCTGGCTTCTTTTGCAACTATGAGATTCAGTCATGCAGAGGTGTATAGCGGTAGCTCATTCTCTTTCATCGCTCTGAAGAATTCTGTTTGAATATACTACAATTTACATGTCCATTCTCCTATTGATGAACATTTGGGTTTCCAGTTTTTGGCTATTTTGAATAAAACTGCTCAAAACATTCTTGTGCATGAATTTTCCACCAAATTCATGAGCACTATTTTCGGTCGGGTATAGACCCAGGAATGCAGGGTGAGTCATGGGGAGGCACACATTTACCTTTAGGAGATACTGCCAGGCAGTTTTCCCCAGTGGTTGGGCCTATGTGCTCTCTCATCAGTAGCATGTAAGCATTTCTTGCCATGCTCCGTCCTTTTCATTTGCACCATCCAAGCAGAGTTACTGTATGACTTGCATTTTAAATCTATATTTCCCTGATTGTGGGTGATGCTGAACACCTCTTCAGTGCCGATTGGCTCCCGGGTTACCTCTTTGGTGCTGCGTCTGTTCTTTTGTGCTTTTTTGTTGGGTTGTTTCTCTTTTCCTTATTGATTTTTAGGATCATTACAGAAATCCTCATGGAAGCTGCAACCCCCTCCCCCACCCCCACTAACACATACACACCAGCTTTGCCCCTGTTTGTTCAGATCTCGCAGGCCCAGGGTACCCCAGAAGTGCTCATTGATGTGGGGTCTCATACATCATTAACCCATAGGGAAAGGTAGGAGGATATGGCCTCAGGTGGTGGTGGTGAATTTCTAGGGTTTCCTTTTCAAGGTGCAGTTTGGCGTTACGTGAAGGGGAACAGATGGGCTCCTTTGCCTCTGGGACTGGGGTTTGAGGCCTGCAGAAGAAAGAGAGGGTACAGAGATGGCATAGCCAGCAGCAGGCTGTCCTCATCTCAGTGACCTGGCAGTCCAGTCCTAGGACGTCAGTCAGGGTCCAGGGCCCCAGATCCCAGTCCCAGCCCTGGGGAAAATGAGCTCACAGGACACAGTCACAAAACTCAGAGCTCCTTCCTTAGTCTTTTCTACCCCTTTCAAGGCTTCAGGTGTTGGTAAGGATGTGATAGTCTCTAAGTCAGGGATTCTCAAATGTGGTCCCTGGACGAGCAGCATAAGCGTCACCTGGGAACTTGTTAGAAATGCCCATTTTTAGTCCTCACCCCAGATGTACTGAATCATAAACCCTGGGGTGGGGACCAATGATTTGTGTTTTCACCAGCCCTCAGGGCATGCTGATGTACAAAGAATTTGAGAACCATTTATATAAGGGAGAATTTGCTCAGCCTGACCTCCAAATCAGGTTTCTGTGAAGGCTCTGACTTGGCAGCCTCCAGGGCTGGTTTTGGTACATGCCGTTGGCAGAGCTGACTGCCTGGTACCAGGCATAGCAGTGGTGAGACAGCCCCATCTCATCAACCAGTGTTTCCAAGCTTAACTGTACAAGAAAATCACCTATGATGGTGCTTTTGTTTTTTTATATTTTGTTTTTTTAAATCCTGATGTCCAGGTTGCAACCCAGACTGATTAAATCAGGATCTCTGGGCTTGAGGCCCAGGTGTTGTATTTATGTATTTTAAAATAATTAATAGACTAGATTTTTTTGAGCAGTTGTATGTTTACAGAAAAATAAGGAAACAGCATAGGGAATATAGTCATTAATACTGTACTATCTTTGTATACTGACAGATGGTAACTATACTTAATGGAGTGAGCATTTAATGATGTAGATAACTATTAAACCACTATGTTGTATACCTACAGCCAACATAATATGGTATATCAGCTATACTTCAGTTTTTAAAAAAAGACATCAAAAAAAAAGAAAAATAAGTAGAAAGTACATACAGTTTCCATATATCCCCTCATCCTGTCCCCCAGTTTCCACTACTATTAACATCTTGTGTTAGTATAGCAAGTATATTAACATTGATGAGCCAATATTGATACATTATTATAAACTGAAGTCCATAGTTTATATTAGGGTTCACTCTCTCTGTTGTACATTCTATGAGTTTTGAAAAATGTACAATGTCATGTGTCCATCATGAAAGTTTTGCACAAAATCCTTCCACTGCCTTAAAAATCCTGATGTTCCACCTGTTCATCCTTGCATAACCCCTGGGAATCACTGATCTTTTTATTGTTTTCATGGTTTTGCCTTTTCCAGAATGTCATAGAATCACAATAGGTAGCTTTTCAGATTGGCATTGTATGTGTGTTTTTAACTCCCCAGCATTGCATCCAAAGCTGAGACCAGGTGTCTTAGGTCCCTGCTGCTCAAAGTGTCAGCAGGGACTTGTTAGAAATGCTGAAATTCAGGTCCCAACCCAGACCTAGTGAATCAAAATAGGCATTTTAGCAAGAGCCCAGGTGACTTCTATGCACATATCAGTATAAGAAGTTCTGACTTAGACCATCTAGACTCTGTCCCCCACCCTCCATGTGGCTTCAGTCTGCCTGCACAGTTTAGAAGGAGCCATTAAAGAAAAAGAACAAGCACGCACACATAAATGGAAGCTTACAATGCAAGTGTCCCTTCCCACCATATTTCAACCTAATTATATATTTCTTGGAAATCTTCTCAAGAAATGGAGATTCTTGGAATCACAAGTTGGCACATGGAGACTGCCTTCATTCTACCAGCTACAGAACATTCCAGTGCAAGTACTGGCCATAATCTAAGCTGCCTAATGATGACTTCCAGGCTTTGCTCCTCTGAGGAAGTATATGTGTAAAACTTGGTCCTAGAAATGGGCTTTCTGGTGCAAAGAATGCATTCTTCTTTTTAAAACGTGGGTTTTTTGAGAGGATGTGATAGCGTTTTTCAAGAGCTCTGGCAGTTTACCTGCCTACCTTTTTCCCCACACCCTTGTGAACACAAATAACAAACTAAAAATATTTATCAATGTGATAGGTAAAAATGATATTTTATTGTTTAATTTTCATGTCATTATTAGAGTGAATATTTTTTTCTCTATTTGTATGCTATATATAAACATTTTCCTATGTTTATATACTCTATATATATGTATATATATATATACACATACATATTTTTTTCTGTGAGTGGCATATTAATGTCTGTTTATTTTTTTCTTTTGGGTGGGTGAGCTTTTTAAAATGGACTTTTAGAGCTCTTTATGTATTTGGGAAAGTAGTCCCTTTCCTGTCATATATGCTGCAGATACTTTTCCAGTTTTTTCCTGTGTCTTTTGACTTTGTTGCTGGTGACTTTGCTAGGCTTTACATTTTTGTTACATTGTGAAATGTGTCTACCCTTTATAGTTTCTAGGCAGCAGCTACTTTTAAAGTTCTTCACTCTCCAAGGATTGCTGGGTATAAAAAAAATCTCTGGGTAAGAATTGCTGCCATTTGGAGTGGAGATATGCTGGAATATAGAGGAGAGATTACAAGTGACCAAACACTCAACTGAAGTCAGTTTACACATCAAGGGAATTTATTGCCTCCCATAACTGGAAAGTCTGGGCCCAGCTGGGTGCATGAGCTAAAAATGCATCATAGAATGAAGCCCCTTTCTCTGTCTCTCAGCCTTCCTTCATGTCAGCTTCCCTGTCAGGCAGATGCTTTGACCTGCTGTGTCCCCAGCTCCCAGCTGACATCGTTCTTACCACCTGCAGTTCCTACAAAACAGAACTTTTCTCTTTCAGTTGTTCTAGCACAAGTCCCAGGGTGGAGTTTTCATTGAACCAGTTTCGGTTGAGAACCCATCCCTGAACCAATCCCTGAAGTGAATATATTGACTGGCCAGGCCTGGGGTCATGGTCCAGCCCCTGGGAGTAAGATAGGGTTGGTCAGCTCCACCAGGGTACATAGATTAGTGAGTTCCCCAAAGGAAGTGGAGATCCTCTTAGCCAGGTAGGGAGAAATGGATGGAGGACAGGTCCTGACAGTAACACCCTCAGCAGAAGTACAAGTGGGGAGTGGCTTCAAATCCTCTTACCAGCTGGTAACGTTGTCCTTCTCCCCCTCAGAACCCCCGGCTGGAGAAGCCCGTGCTGCTCTCTGAGTTTTCTACCAAGATCCCACGCAGTGAAATGGACGGGCCTGTTGAGAATGGCCTCCGGGCTCCGGTCAGTGCCTACCAGTATGCACTATCCAATGGGGACGTCTGGAAAGTGCATGAGGTGCCTGACTACAACCTGGCCTATGGCAGCCCTGGTGTGGCTGATGCTACCCCACCCTGGAGTGGCTACAAGGAGCAGAGCCCCCAGACGCTTCTGGAGCTGAAGCGGCAGCGGGCTGCAGCCAAGCTGCTCAGCCATCCCTTCCTGAGCACCCACCTGGGCAGCAGCATGGCCAGGACGGGCGAGGGAAGCAGCGAAGGCAAGGCCCCCTTAATTGGAGGCAGAACTTCACCATACAGCAGCAATGGGACCTCCGTGTATTACACAGTCACCAGTGGGGATCCCCCGCTCTTGAAGTTCAAGGCCCCCATGGAGGAGATGGAAGAGAAGGTCCACGGCTGCTGCCGCATCTCCTAGTATCCATGGGAGGGAGGGAAAGAGATGCTTCAGGGAGGGGTCCCTGGAGTCCAGGCCAGCCCAGCAGCCCTGGCTGGGGAGGCATCAGAGGGCAGCTTGGGGGAGGTGGGCTCTGCCTTCCCGAGGAGCTCTGACTCCACATCTCATCCAGCTGCCTATAGGATCACCATTTCCCGTGGGGGAGGTGGGCTCTGCCTTCCCGAGGAGCTCTGACTCCATGTCTCATCCAGCTGCCTATAGGATCACCATTTCCCGCGGCTCTGCTTCCTGCTGCATTGTCTGCTGTCCGAAACAAGGCCCCTAGTGACGTCCTGACTCACCCTGCTGTCAGATTTGGGGAAGACGGGCTGGGATTCCAGTTCTGTGGTTGGTAAAGGCTTCTCTGGACCAGTATCCACATGTCGCATATCAACACACACACATTCACACTCAATCAACATGTGTAGAAATGGCACAGCTGGCCTCATGGGAAGCAGGTGGGACAGAGAATCTGTGGGCTTTTCCCAAGAAGATTGAAATTAAGACCCAGAGTTTCATCAGCGCTGCCAATGTGGCTTTAGCAGGGGTGGAACCTGCTAAGCTGAGACCCATAGTCCTGCCATGCCATCCACATCTAGCAGGAACGGGAGGTCCTCTCTGTTCAGAGGGAGCTGTGAACCCATGTAGGGTAGATGATGCAGGCATAGGCCTGCTGCCCCAGCCTTGCCCAGGCAGGAGCCAGCTGTGCGACTGCCCAGGGGCTCAGGTGGAAAACCAGGCTGTTCTATTCCTGGATAATCCAAATCACATTCTGCTCTTAGACAGAAGTATCAGAAGGTGGAGGGGAGGGGGGACAAAGTTAGCACTTCCCAAAGTGTATTTGATAAGAGTTAGGTTATAAAACCCTAGGTAGGAGGGAACTGAACTTGCTTTCTTCCATAGATAACATCATGGCCACTAGATTTTATTCACTGTTTTTGGAAAAATGAAGCTAAGTGAGGAACTTCAGTTAGAGGGGCTTTTCCAAGGAGAGGGGTGAATTCATGTTGTTAATTTCTGCAAACATGTCTGGTAACCATGACAGAGCCCAGTGCCCTGGCCGATCTTTGTGAGTATTTAGACAGTCTGGCCTGTGTCAGCCAGCCTTCCTCAGACTGAGCCATCAGTGAATAGCGAGGGGCTACCGGGGCACCCACCACTCCAAGAGTGAATGCTCAGGACCCCTGCCCGGCTTTGCCTGTTCTGGGATGCTCGGTGAGAACAGTTTGCCGGTTGGCCCTTGTGAGTTTCTTCCTGACCCAGGAGTTGCCCAGCTTGCTCACGCCTGAGGCAGTGACACCCCATGGCTCCACACCCAAGGTGACCACGGCCAGCATCCTGCAGTGTATTCTGGAGTTGGTCTCACCCCAGCTCAACAATTTCACAGCCCCAGTCTCCCTGATGCTGCTGGGGCGGGGGGGTTGGGAGGACCACAAGAGGCAGGCTGCCTGCCACCTGCCCACTGCGTTCTCTCATGAGCCCCTTAGAAATTGTTCCCTGGGAGTTGGGTGCTGTCTACAGGCTCAGCCAAAACCTATTGGTATAACTAACAAGGTACAGGTTTGTTCCAGACTCTGTGCACCTTTGATTTGTCCTAAAACTACCTCTTTAGAGCTCTGAAGGGGCCCCCTAGGTCCAGATTCTGGGGATTGGGGGAGAAATCTGGCTTCCTTTTAATCCTCTTCTTTCTGAGCCTATGACCAGTTTTCCCTGGGGGTACCTGGGCCAGGGAGCTGGGGCTGGAGGAACCCCACCTTGTGCCACATTCTGGTAATGGGGCCCGCTGTTTATCAGCTCCAGTCCCCACTGTGGCCCCCATGGCCCCCCCTGCCCAGAGAAGGATTTGGAGTCCAAGGGGCCTACCCAGGAGCAGGGCAGCCGGGCCAGAGAGCAGAGCGCTCAGGGGAGTCTCTCTGCTCCTGGTGGCTCCTGGATACAGGGAGGGTCACAGTACCCAGCCACCCCCACCCCAACTCCAGGACAGATCTGGTCCAGGGTAGAGGGGCAGCTCAGGAGATGGCAGACAGGTGTGAGTGAAGCCGCTCACATCCCTGGAGCCTGGGGTGGGCCTTCCATCATCTCAGCCTGCTGGTTGGAGCAGGGCGGGGGTGATCCAAAACCCACATATTTTGGCTTTAAAACTGTTCAGATCAGACCGACACTGAAATTCCTCTTGAGCTGACTTTAGCTGCAAGCAGGGGAGGGCCTAGAGAAGCCAGACGCTCTGAGGAGAGGGCTGTGCAGGGCTTTCCATCTGTTTGCTCAGGGTCCAGAGACTGTCTGGCATTGATTGCTTACTCTGAGCCCTTCTGGCCATTCCCTCCTTTCCTCTTCCTGCTGCTTGGGACATTCCTTTACCACCCAGCAGGCTGGGAATCCTAGCTGATTCCCCGATGGGAGCCAACTGCAAACGTCTGGGCATTAGCTCTCAGTTCAGTCAGGGATAAGCCATTCCCCCTTAGGACATCAAGTATCTGGGGAGCTTTCCCTATGGGTCTCCTTGGTGTGAAGGGACAAGCTGGGGCCAGGGTCATTCATTTATTCACTCATGTTCATTATTGAGTAGCTGCAACATATCAGGCACTGTCTTAGGTTCTGGGGATAAAGGACCGAGATAGAGTGAGGAGGCTGCTCTTTACAGTGTTTTTCCCTTGAGGACCATGAATATCAGCAGCCTCATTCAATTTGCCTGAAACAGAGTGACTGGTTCCTGGCCAGAATCCCTTTGCTTTTTAGTTCCTAGAATCCCTACACCTGAGAAACTATTGTCATGGCCACCTGTGGATAACATTTGCCACTGAATGCAGGTGCTGGATCTTGAATTCCAAGCAGACACCATCCCAAGTCCTTCAGGAACTTTCAGGAATAGCTAGCTGCCTTCAAGCCGGCGTCTATGGGGCACTATAAAATAGTTTGAGGTCAGTGTCTAGAAGAACAAGGAGTCTGTCTGCACTTTGCTGCCAAATGCATCTCAGGTTCTTAAATTCATTGTCTCTTACTCATTTTTGCTCATTTATTAGGTAGTTCTTCTCCCCCACCAATGGATAATGGGAGGAAAAGGAGCTTCTTCTTTAACATCAAAGCCTTTCTTCAGGAGTCGGCCTCTCTTCCCAGCAGGTGTGGATCTAGGAGTTGGAAGAAAGCTGGCAAGGTAGACCAGATGCCCAGCTCCCACTGAGACCCAGGTCTGGTGGCAGTTCCTGACAGATTAAAGGAGGCTACTTCTAAAGCATGTGCCACATGGCTCATTGTGACCTCTGGCCCTTGCTTCCAATTTTTGCCCCAGACAACTGAAAGTTGGTGGCTATCACTAGTTAGTGAGTTTCTGGCCAGTGGCTCAGGGAAGCTGAATCAACTCTAGATGCAAGCCTACTGAAGACGATAGGATGTAATTCTTTAAATATCGCAGCTTTGATGAAACTGTTCTGTGCTGTTTGATCATTGTCAATGGGCTTAGAAAAGTTAACAAGTGTGTGTCCCCTGTCCTACCCTACCACCGTTTCCTGGCTTTGTAATAACATGAGAGCGTTTTGGTTATTGGTGTCAGACACCGTTTGATCTTGAGCTTTCTCTTTCACTTGCTTTCCCAGAACAGGACACTGGGGCACTTCCAGGAGTGCGCTTCTTATAAGATGCTCAGAAGGACTGTATTTAATTCTTGCTATTGTAGCCTGGAGACAGCCTCCCTTCCCCCAGGGAACATAAGAGCAAAGGGTCACATGGTCAGTGGGTGGTTCCGCAGAAGTGACCCTCTTTGCCAGAAGCTATAGCCCTCTCCACGCTAGAAGTTTCTTATTGGCCAGTTGGTCAGAGGGCCTGCTTCCCACAGGCATTGCAAGTGCCACTGTGCGGGGCCTGGCTCTGCACACCCAGGAAAAGTTTGCAGACCCCCAGCCCTCCGCAATAATTCACCAGACCAGAAGCCACTGATGTACAGAGAACACTTAAGAAAAATGTATTTTATGTGAAAAAAAGTTAAAACTCTGTATACTGTATCAGCAGCTTTGTGTAAAAATGGCAATCAAGAGAGTCTAATATATTTAAAACCTTTTTTAAAAAAATTCTTGCTGATCTTTGATATTGTATTGAAGTAACTTCCAGGTAGCTTCCTGCCACATGGCAGTGGTGGGCCATGTGTCCAAGACCACGGCTCATCCACATCCCAAAGGGGCACATCCCTGGTGTTGCTTCCAGCTGCCAAGGCCTGTGACGGAATTCGCTGTTAAGAGTTTTTAATTAAGATTATTAAATTCCTTTTAATAACACCTGCTAGTGTGGCAGTGGTCATTGCTGTGGGCTTGCTTCAACTATTCAGATTTGAATGCACAAAGAGATGATTTCTGGGATAGAGGGCAGGGGAGGGTTCCCAGTCCCTGCTCCCACCACAGAGGGCTCACCCTTGAGGCCCCTGAAGCAGAAGGAGCTCTGAGGGCTCAGACATAAGAGTCGATGTCTTTCAAGACTGGGAAATGGTGAAACCTGATGGATTAAAGAAAAGATGGGTGGCTGGGAATGACCTTCACTCTGTTAAATGTTCCCTTTGGAATTGACATGGAGCCCTACAACAGCTCAGATGTGTATGTGTGTGTGTGTGTGTGTGTGTATTTCACACTTTCAAAGGTTTGATGACATATGTAACAGGGCTGCCCTTCTGTTCTTGGAGTGCACCAACTTGTCCTATCCTCTTCTCCCTACTCCATCTCTGTCCTTTTCCTCATATAGCTCACAGTGGGGAAATAAGCACCACATACTACTTCACATTATTACACCACCACAGCAGGTGAGGCCCTGGTTACTCTCACTTTTTACCTCAAGCAACAGAGGCATTGACAAGCTGTGCGGCTGCACCGCCCCAGACTGTGGTCCTTGTCTGTCATATGCAGAAGTTCGTTGGTGTCTCAGAAGAGCATGGAAAAGGGTGTCCTCTCGGACCCTTCTGGAACGTGGATATCAGAGCAGGGACACATGGAAGGCCCTAGACTTGGGTTTGAAAACCTTCACAAATGGACTGGGGATGGGGAGAGGATGAGAAGAGGGCTAACTGCAGCAACAGGTCATCCACTTTAAAGTTTATTTGTTTCTAAATAATAATGGTAACCTCTCCCATTTATGAAGTTGTACATATGCTTTCTCATTTGCACACAGAAGAGGCCTGAAACTTGACTGTTGGATTTAGCATGGTGAGCTCATGATAATCTTGACAAGAGGTTTTTGGTTGGGCAGTGGAGGCATTGCCTGATTGGAGAGGGTTTGAGAGAAACCTGGAGACAGGGACTTATTTTGAGGTTTTACGCCATGAAGTGAGCAGAGGAATGGGGAAGAAGCTCTAGAGGAATGTAGGATCAAGTGAGGGCTGATTGAAGATGAAAAATATTCTGCCGTGTTTGGATGCCAATAAAGGGAAACTGATGGTCTAGGAAGAGGAGAGAATTTCTGAAGAGATACAGGTTAGCAGTGGAAGGGCTGGCAGCTAGTGCCCAAATGGAAGGATTGGTGTCAGGCTCAGGGACAGTTCCTTGATAGTCGTAAGGCCCAATATGTGGGAAGAGATGCAGACAAGTAGGTATTTGTTGGGGAAGCGTGTGGAAGGTCTCTCTGCTTCTATTTTCTCAGTGAAATAGAAGCAAACTCTAAAAGAGAGGAAAAGGTAGAATGGATGAAGGAAATGTAGGCTAGCAGGCAACCCTAAATGCCCACTGGAGATCTTGAATTTAAAGCAAAGCCAGTATGGTTGCGTTTTCTTTTTCCCGGCACTGTGCAACTGCCAAGTACGGAGAATGGGGTTTAACCAGGGCTGGGGGTTTGCCAGGCAAAAACCACTTAGTGAAAGAAGAGAAATCCACCTGAAGGTATAATCCAAGGAGTCGCTATTAGGATGGACCGGTATTTTTGAACAAGCTCCAAGAGCCCTTGGGCAGCGCCGACAGCTTGCGGCCAGTTTCCCCTAGCTGGGCGTAGGTCCAACCGCAAGCCGCTCAAGGCCAAGCCGAAGGACGGGCCGGCAGGGGGCGCGCTAGGACTGCGGGGGCCTGGCACCACGGCTTCAGCTCTGCTGTGGGAGCCGCCGCCTGGTAGCACGGCCACTCAGGCCCGGAACCCCCTTTCCGGCTGACCACAAAGAGCTCGGCCCTGGCAGACGGGAGCAGGAACTGCTAGGTGGGAGTGGGCACGGAGTCGCCGGCTTTAAATTCCACCAAGCCATCCCAGACCTAGGGCGAGAGGTGCCGCCTGGAACCAATGCGGAGATGCAGGGCGGGGCCGGGCAGCGGGCCAGCCAATAGTACGTCAGGGGGCGGGGACACAGCGGCGTGCGCAGCGTCCGGACTTCGCCGTTAGGGTGGCAGCCAATGGGAGGGCCACGCCGCGAGCCGGTTACATTCAAAGGTGCCTATAAAGCGGTCTGCACGCCCGCACTCGCCCGAGCCGGTCAGGTTCGCGTGCCACCATGGCTCTGTGCTCCGAGGGCCTAGACGAACTGCCCGCCGCCTGCCTGTCCCCATGCGGGCCGCCCAACCCGGCCGAGCTGTATAGCGAGGCGCGGCGCCTGGCTCTCGAGGAGCTGGTGGCGGGCGGCCCCGACGCCTTCGCAGCGTTCTTACGACGCGAGCGCCTGGGCCGCTTCCTGAACTCGGACGAGGTGCATACCATCCTGCGCGCGGCCGAGCGGCCCGGCCAGGAAGGCGTGGCGGCGGGGACCGAGGACTCCTTTGGCTCGTCGCACGACTGCTCGTCCGGCACCTACTTCCCCGAGCAGTCGGACCTGGAGCCGCCGTTGCTGGAGCTCGGCTGGCCCTCCTTCTACAAAGGCGCCTACCGCGGTGCTACGCGCGTGGAGGCGCACTTCCAGCCCAGCGGCGTCGGCGCTGGCGGCCCCTATGGTTGCAAGGATGCGCTGCGCCAGCAGCTCCGCTCGGCGCGAGAGGTGAGCGGCCAGACCCTTGGGTCGCCTGTGTCCCCAGTGGGACAGGAGACCTCTTCAAGAATGGGAAACAGGCCTGCTGAGACCTCGGGTTGGGTGGCTCCGGGGTCCACTCCGCGCCATTCTGCATGTCTCCTCTGCATCACTGATCCCCCCGGCGGCTGTTTGTGTCAGGGGAGGTTGGGAGAAGCAGTCCTCACGGATGCGAATTGCGTCCGAGGTCCAACTCCTAACATTCACATCCCCTGAGTGAGAGAGTCAGAAATACTTGCAGTTACCAATTTCAGTTAAAACTAAACCAGATTGGCAATTTTCCTGGCTGTCAGCCAACACTAGCTCCCACTTTCAGGGACCTATTAGATGCATTATCTAAGAAGTTCATTATCTAAGGAAAAGTTACAGAAAGCTTGTCCCTAGAGCAACTGTGGGGCATTGGGAATCTATTATTGCTAGTCACCTCCACGTGTCTTATGTTGTAGAAAGCAAATACATACCACGGGCCAACAGAACCCTGCCCCTTTGCCTCCTGCCATAAAAGAGACGAAATTGCTTCTTCTGGGAATAAATGGGGCAGGGGGTTTGCTTCTCCACAGGCTGAGGCTGTTTCAGTTAGCAGTGGCCTCCTAAAATGCAGATTCCCCCACCTGCATTCGATCTCCCTCTGATTCTTCATGTGGCGTGGCATTGGGGTATGGTGGGAGGTCTTGTCTCCCTGCCAGCCAAGGTGAGACTTCAGCAGAGTGCTGGGGACCTAGGGGTCTGAGAGGAAGAATGCAGCACACAAGGTGGGTGGGGCGTGTAGGGTGTGGCCCCAGACACCTTAGTCCAGAGCCCTAGTCCCTGTCACTTTGCTGACTGGTAGTGCCCAGCTTCATGGTTGTTTGCCATGGGTTAGAGACATGGCAGGTAAAGCCCCAGGCCATGGTAAGACTCAGTAGGGCTGGTACCTGAGTGTATCTGAGTGTATCTGACTGGGTTACAGCATGAGTCTGGTTGAAATAAGTCCAGGAACAAGCCCTGACTCCAGTCAGTGTTCCTGGCACTGCTGTTCTTTTCCTGTTGGTGGGGTTGCAGTGGGAAGATGTGGACTCCAGGTAAGCTGGTATCAGTCCTGCAGTGTTGCTAGGTGGCTGTGAATCCTTCTGATGCAGCAGACATTTGTGGGTTCAGTGAGAAGATCACAAAGATGGGAATGGGCATGATTGTGGCATAGGTGTGCATTCCCAAAGCTCACATGCAGGAGGAGAATTTGGGAAGTTGGAACTTGAGAGAAGTAATGAACGGGTCTACACGAAAGAGGAGGGATTGCCTTAGCCTCTTGCCCAGCTCCAATTTCTAGTGGTAGTGGAGGGGCACTGGAGCTAAGGCCAGAGGGAAAACTATCAGCTCAGTGCTGGCACTGAGACACTCTTTGTCCTGAGGGCATTCTGCAATACTGGCATGCCTAGGTAGAACTTTCTGCTTGCTCTGTTCTGTGCCCTAGTCCAACTACATACACACTCATTATCTTCGAGATTCTGTTTTTGGAACCCGGGCCATTTTAGCTGAGAAAAGTAGTACATTACTTTTAATTAAACCCCATGAGTCTTTTGAGCATCTCTGCCATATGCCAGATTGCTTGTTTATTCAGTGCCTCCTGTGTATCAGACACTGTGCCCGGGGCTGGGCCACAGCTGAAGGGCGTGATCCTTGCTTGCAATTGAGAGTTGACAGTCTGCTGGTGGGAAGTGTGAGGAGGTTGCTACAGAGAGTTGGGGCAAGGGCTGAAGAAAGAAAGCCTCAAGAGTGATGGTGACCTTGGAGCTGGGTCCAGGAGGATGGGAGGCTTGCTGGGCCAGAGGATAGGGACTGGCCCAGAAGTGTGGAAGGACTGGCGTGTTTGGAGGCAGCTGCGTTTCTCACAGCTGGAGCAGAGAGTGTGTGAGGGTTGGTGGTGAGAGGAGGCCGGAGAGAAGAGGAGCCCAGGCTTTGCACATTAGCAATGGGGAACCACTGAAGAAGAAGAGCATTATCAGACTGGTGTTCCCGGGCTGTAATTCTGGTGGGAGCATGCAGGAGATGCGTGAGAGAGGGCTGAGACTGGTGTCTGGGATGGCTGTAGGGAGGAGGCTTCATATGACATATGAGAAGAGGGTCTGTGCTAAGGCAGTGTTGGGTGGGCGGCGTGGGCAGGGAGTTTTCTGCAGAACTGACAGGACTTGGTCATTAGATGGCCTGGAGGGGTAATGAGGGAGGGAGCAGGAGCAGGAGTGCCAAGGAGAAGAAGGTTAGGAAGAGTTGAGGAAGATAGTGGTTGTTCAATTTGTGTGGGCAGTGATGCTATCAAACTAGATAATGAGAGGGAGA